TTTTTAACTACGGCAGCCGTTTGCATGTTGAAAATAAGGTGTCGGGATATATATTTTTTTTCATTTTATAGTACAGGGCATAAGCTTTAATTTGATACATTTTTAAAGAACGCAGAATTTTCGGAACATTTTCAAAAGTTAAATTAAAAATGTTAGTTTTTATATTAAAGTTGCTATTTTAAATCCCCCCCAGTGAGCAGGTTAAATGTTAGATTTTCAAAAAAATGATATCAAATGAAAGAAAAATATCTAAGGTTTTAGTATAAAAAAAAATGATGTTGATTTGTTAATTTTTGAAAAAGTTATGGAAGTTTTAAGAAAAAAAAGTGAAAAAAATGACAAAATTTACCGATTTTTAAATTTGTAATTTTTTTTGGAGATTTCCCCCATTTGCGGGGAACAAGGGAAAATTTTTCAATTTTTAAGAGTAATGTCTTCAACTAGATACGATTTGTGATCTTTTGACATATTGTTGAAAGAAATCGGTCCAGTGAGAGCTCAGAAAAAGTAGTGACAGACACAAAAAAATAAACATATCATGGTAAAATTAATAAATTCTCAGCTTCGCATTGAAGCTAAAAATATTGATACATTAAAGAATATATATTATTTATTCTATAATTTTAATTTCTAAAGCTAATAATTCCATATTGAACTATGAAAGTTTTATTTGTTTAAAATAATTTATAAAAATATTCTAATAACAATCATTAATTAATTTTAATTTTAAAAGATTTTCTTTATATTACAAAAAAAATAATAGATAAATATTATAACAATAATATTTTAACTTCAAATATCTCTAGCCAAACAAAAATATATAAATTACGAATCCTAGACTATTATATAATATTTATTCAATCATAAAATTTAATATATAACAATTATTTGACTTAAAAATATATTTCTTTCCTAATGGACTATAAATAATAACAATTAAAAAAGTTGATATTAATTATAGTATTAAATTAAATAAAACCTCATACTAGTACTAAAAAGGGTTACATAATAGAAGTATTGATACAATATCGATCAAAGTTTTGTCAACACAAAATATCTTTTTTTTTTTAAATAATATTTAACTTATTAATTATGATAGACTGTTATGGTATGATAAGTTATTAGGTTTATGAAAAGTTGTGCTAAATTCAATTTTTTTATGTGTAATCACTTTGTTGTTAGGGAATTTTTTAAGAAAACAGCAATATGTGGACGTCCTGTGTTGACTTTAACTAGCCCACATAGTAAAACAAGACCAATCAGGGTAGCAAAGCACCCTTTGCTACCCCTGTGTTCATGCCTATGATTGAAAATGTTTAATTTTTTTGTCATTGAGTTGATTTTTATTTATGTGTTCTTTGAGTTGTAATTACAATAAATTAGAAAGGTTATAATTATCTACATACAAACTATTTACATATGTATAGATAATTAAACAAAAATTGTAGGTTTTCTGTATATTTAAAATTTTAGATTGTTAATATTTTAATTATAACACCATGTTTATTTAATCATTTCTATTTGATGTATTTATGTTGTAGATCCTGTTTTACTGCTTGTTTGCTTAAATATTTATAATTATTTTTTAATTAATATTCATTATCCTTGAATAAAACTAATCTATTATTTAGGTCGTTTATACATCTGTAAGTTATTTTATATTTATCTAAATTATTACTAACTAATTATTAATAATTTAGATACAATAATTAATTGTTTAATAAGTAATAAGTTTAATTAGTAATAGTTTAGTAATAAATTATTATAAGAATTAACCGATACATTTTTTTCGATTGATTTTGATTTTGAAAGTCAAATGTTAAGTTCAATTAAGGTTTGAAAAGCGGTTTCATCATATTTTTATTTCTGTAATCATTCTTTCAACATGTTTTTAAAAAAATCTATATAGATGAACTAATTTATTAGATTTAAAAAAATGTTTAAAAAACATTTTTAAATTATTTTGGTTCCTAGCCATAATTAGAATTATTTACTTGTAAATAAACAATATATAGTATATGTAGGGACAGAGGCGGTCACATAGTTTTCAACCCCCACGATGATTTTTGGATAAAAACAAAAATGGGAGCTGTACATAATAATACGGTTTATAGTATAGAGTGGTCAATTTTAGAGGGGTTAAATTTAATTTCTCTATCTCCAATAAATAATTTCAATATAACAATGCATATAATATTGCTACATTTTTGAGAACCTTAGTACCCTAGATCCCATTTCACCTGACAATTATGAAGCTGTAAGTTTATATCCTATAGCTTTTTTATTTCTACTACTATATCAAGATGTTTTTACAAACTATTAGATATGCGTAAATGGATTTCTTCTTATTAACCTTATTTCAATATTTAATTTAGAAGTACTCCGTTGAATTTACCTACGTATAAATAACAACCAAGACTTATTATTTGTGACCTCCTAAATTTATAAAATTAACTAATTTAATTCCATACTAACTACGTTCAATAATTAATCATATATAACATTTCCAAAAATAATATATATAATGAAAATTATACAAAAATGTCAAAAAGATCTTTACCGCTAATCCCTTTCCATCTGACTATCACTACGTAGTAATTGAATTTTGTGATGATCTAAAGAAAAAAATAATTACTTTAACTCAATTATATTTACTCCAAATCATTTTTGAGCTATTCCCCTTCAAACACCCTCTGAAGTTTAGCGAAGAAACAACATAATTACAAAAAAATTTAACTTAGGTTGATGTTTGCTAAATGTTATCTGATCTAATGGCACGACAATGTGAAGTTTGAGTTAAAATTCTCATTTAGTTTCAAAAGATAAGGTATTGTTTAATTAGTTATAAAGTAAGTCATCGTACTTCAGCCTTATCAAATGTTCAATTAAAATCAGACACAAAAATATTTTTAATCCAATTCGATTGTACAGTTAGGGCTTGTAGTTGAGAAATTACATGATAATTTACAAATTATTTTTTGTTTAAGTATTTCATGTATGATAAATTTTCGTGTATAAAGAGACCTAGATTTATTTGCGTTAATTATCATTAAGTAACATTAGTGTGTTTACAAAAATAAAAAAGTGAAAATGTTAAAAAAAAACTTCAACAAATATTTATTAGATGCAGTAGTGTAGCCAAAAATGTATGTAAGTATTTTGTAGTTATTTGAATATAATAAAAGTCGTTTGTCCAAAAGACCACACCATTATTGTAGATTTTATGAATTACAAAAAAAAACAGATTATTAATAAACTTAGGTGATTATTTTAGCTTCGATGTGAAGCTGAGAAGGTATTGGTTTTACTATGATGTGTTTTTTTTTTTGTGTCTGTTACCACTTTTTCTCAGCTCTCACCGAACGGATTTCTTTCAACGATATGTCAAAAGATCACAAATCGTATCAAGTCGAAGACATTACCCTCAAAAATTGAAAAAAATTCCCTCGTTCCCCGTAAATGGGGGACATCTCCAAAAAAATTACAAATTTAAAAATCGCTAATTTTCGAAATTTTTTCAATTTTTTTTACTAAAAACTGCCATAACTTTTACAAAAATAAACATATCAATATAATTTTTTTTTTATAGATGTTTGATATCTTTACCTATCATTTGGTATATTTTTTTTGTAAATCTGACATTTAATCTGCCTACAGGGAGGGATTTAATATGACAACTTTTTCACAAAAACTTTTTTAACTTGACTTTTTAAAATGTTCCGGAAAGTCTAACACTTTTATATTTATATTAAATTAAAGCTAATGTAATATACTTTTATTTGAAAAAAATTAATTGGCTACCGAATGCTATTTTTGTGTGAAAATTCTCGATTTTATTTTTTACATTTTTAAATTTATAATGCTATAACTTATTGAAAAGTGTATGGATCAACACAATTTTTTTATGAGAAATAATATTTTTTAATAATCCCTTTTTCATTCGACATACTTTATCTTAATCAAGATATTAATAAGGAACTAGCAGATCATGTAGCTTTTGGAATAAAACACCAATTTTTTTAAAATTAAACACAATCTAAAGATTTGCATCGAAGCGTTTATTTTTGATAGTGATTTTAATAACTGTCAGATATCATTATATTTGATCCAACTAAACAATGGCATCACTGTACCGCGACCCCCTGTGCTGGGTTTTTTCATTTGATGTTAATATGATTCTCATAGGTAAAACTTCTCGGGCTAAGGTCTGACCAAATATTTAAGACCCTTTCCGAATAAGTAGTGTAAAACTTGACTAGGCGGAGTTCTACAGAAATAATATCATAAAATTGTTAAACTAAAACTATCATTATGTAAAAGTTTTATGAATCAAAATAATAATAATAATTTGGAAAAATCTTAAACAAAAAGATATAGCAACTAGAATTTCTTACCGATTTGAAACTCAATAGCTAATAGTCTTTCATTTTATCAATGTAAATGAATATTATGACTACGCTTAAATAATCTTGTAGAAATGTCGTCAAATATTGACTAGAAGTATTTAAACATTTTTTAATTCACTATAACTGCATTAGTTCGATTATTTTTATAACAATTCCTGAAACGAAAACTAAAATGTTCTATTATATACACAAAATAACTTTTTGGTTTCGAATGATGAGATAACTAAATAGAAAAACATTTTTAGAGAATTGATTTAATTTCTCTTTTTAATATCCTTTTTCAACTGTAGATTAAGTTCTTCTAGTTTTATTAGAACACGACAAAAATAACATAAGTTATTAAACTAGATGAAATATTTTTTGGCCTCGTCTAAAACAAAGGTCTAGTTTCGCCTATGATGACCCTACTACATATGAACTACTAGTATGAACATACTAGTGAACTATGTTGAAAATAAATATTAAATAATTCCCAAACAAGTTTTCCAACAATGATATTGGAGATTCCAATAGATATTCATATTGGTGATATTATTACCACTACCTGATTAACTTGAACCTAATTTTTTCATTGAAATGAGACACCATTTGATCATAAGTCTATTTCTTTCAGTACACATTAGTTCTCGATAGAGTGACTATCGATAGATGTGTACATTTTCATCTACCCCTAATGAGAGCCAAAATTAAAATGACAAATTTAAGAACATCGTTGATCGTTGTTTTTGTAATCGCAACTTTACAATTACAAATATACTGTAAGTGCAAATTTAATTCATAATTATTAAAAGTATATTCATTTACAGATTAAATAAATTAAATTATAAGTATTTATGTCTTAATATATAAACAAAATGTGGTACTTAAGGAAAAAAAGTCAGGAATCATAAAAATAAATTAAAATTTTAAACTCGTATACCTCAAATATAATTTTTTTATTATTTCATTTGCTAATTTGTGACAGAGAAGTAACTTAACATTCTACTTAAAATTATTAAATGACAACTATTATTTAGCCACTCATTAAAAAAAATATAATTTGCTGTAGTTAAAAACTAGAAAAATGTAATGCGATTTACATTATTTTTTTAATCAGGATGATCCGTTAGCTATGTCTTTTGAAATATCTTTAAAAATATAAGATAAAATATATTTTTTCCTTTTCAAAAGCCTGAGTTTATCTATACATTTGTAATAACAGAAAAAATACTCTTTTCTTTCTCCTTACAGTTGCTTTAGTTTATTAAATGTTTACATGCATGTTTAAATAATTTAAAAAAAGAAAATAGTCTAACTAAGGATATGAACGGTCGACAACAACCTTCAAACTATTGTTTTAAAAGATATTAGCATTTTATATTTACGTGAGAGGAGTAGTGCGATTTGTAAATGTCTAAAGATAAAAATAAACAGACTCGCGCTTCACCTGCAGTTTTTTTATTTAAATGTTAACAATTTCTTTGAGTCAGTATTTTATTGATTCAAAAATAGTTTTTGACTAGTCATTTTCTTAGTTCAATATTTTGTCTTATTTGTAGCCAGCGTGTTTCTATTTAAAAAATTAAAGATTAAAAATTTTAAAGGGAGAAGAAAGTGGTACAGGCTATATTTTTTCTTGTTATTTTAAGTGTGTAAGATTAGGGTGGCCCTCAAAAATCGAATGTCTTTTTTTTCTTTACGCTACCCCTTAATTTTTTTTTAATAGTCAAAAAAGTGAGCTGTGCAAAATTTGGGACCGATCCGTTAAGGTTAACCCGTGCCCCCGGGCCTATTAAGTTGAGTCGAAGAGTCAAATTTAATAGAAATAACTGATCTATGTCTCATAACTTTTTTTTCTCTTAACTTAGAATAATAAAAGTAAAACTCAAGTAAAGGAAATTTTACAAGAAATTCAAAAATAATAACTTCAATGTTGTTTTCTCAATAAATAGCCCACAAAAACACTACATACAGTAAAAAACATGTAAAAGTCTTAAAATACGTTATAACTGATTTTGTTGATTTTTAATTATTTATTTTCATTTTATTTTTTGGAAAACGCATATTCGTTTAAAAAAAGATTCTAGAAGTTTAATTTTTTATGCCAAGTACGATAATTATATTAGATTTATTATTTTATGGACAGTTAATTAATGATTAATTACAAATTTAACAAAATTGATTGTATTATTACATTTTGTCGTATCAATATATCAATTTTGGTTTACTGAATTACTTTAAGATAGTACCAATTATATTATTATTAAAGATAAGAATATTTGAGTTATTTTCGACAACTGACATAATTTGTGTCGTATAAATGCAGCAGACAATTTGTGAACACGTTAAATATATTTTACCTGTTTATTATTATATATTAAATGATACGTTTTAATCACAAATGTACAATACTTTTAGCGTCTTTTAAAGTATTACGAACTAATATTTATCTTATTGGTAATTATTCCCACGAAATAACTGGTAGTAAGTTACCATCAAATTTACAACTATTTAATCTGAACACTGATTTTTTGAAAATTGATCCATCATTTTGGAGTGCGAACAACAGTTACATAAATGCTTTAAATACTATAAGTAAATTACGAGTCATTAATGATACAGCCTAGCGTGGCATTAAATTAATCTAAGACTACATTAATATATTAACTACAAATGAAGAACAGAAACAATACGTTTTACAAATAGTAAGTAATTATCGGAAAAAATTTCCTAATTGTAAAAAAAGTACATTATCAAAAAATATATTATAATAATATAATTTAATTATTGTTAAAATATTTTTTTTAAAGTTATTATTATTTAAAAAAAAATAAATTAAAAATTGTTAATAACAATTAAATTAAACTGTTAAATTTGTAATTAATCATTAATTAACTGTCCATAAAATAATAAATCTAATATAATTATCGTACTTGGCATAAAAAATTAAACTTCTAGAATCTTTTTTTAAACGAATATGCGTTTTCCAAAAAATAAAATGAAAATAAATAATTAAAAATCAACAAAATCAGTTATAACGTATTTTAAGACTTTTACATGTTTTTTACTGTATGTAGTGTTTTTGTGGGCTATTTATTGAGAAAACAACATTGAAGTTATTATTTTTGAATTTCTTGTAAAATTTCCTTTACTTGAGTTTTACTTTTATTATTCTAAGTTAAGAGAAAAAAAAGTTATGAGACATAGATCAGTTATTTCTATTAAATTTGACTCTTCGACTCAACTTAATAGGCCCGGGGGCACGGGTTAACCTTAACGGATCGGTCCCAAATTTTGCACAGCTCACTTTTTTGACCATTAAAAAAAAATTAAGGGGTAGCGTAAAGAAAAAAAAGACATTCGATTTTTGAGGGCCACCCTAGTGTAAGATACTAATAACTTCTGAAAAAAATTATATTGTATCTTATAATTTTAAATATATTACGTGCGACAAAATTAGTTTGTATTTTAGTGTGGTTATATCAACTTTGTTCATAATATACTATCAAAACGACGAATCAAATAAATCCAAATTTTAGCCTGTTTATATATAATTATAATTTTTAATTCGAAAGCCAGTGAGATATTTTTTAATGTAAGAAATAATAGTAATTAAAAATAAGTACCAAGTCCAAGTATAAATATCTATTAAATTATGGTTAAAGTTTATGCAATAAAAAATGTTGAATAATTGAATGATGTTATAATTAAAAAAAATCTTCTAATTTCAATTTAATACTTTAAATAACCAGTTATGCTAAAATAATGCCAAAAAAAATATAGTATAATAATATGCTAAAAATAATGTTATTTTAATTTTTAGTATAACGTTTATTGATGTGTTATTATTTATATAAAACGTTGGTAGCTCAATTTTTAATGTTTTTTTAAGATTCACGTGTTATTTATTCTAAGATTAATAATAATTAAACGTAGATTGAATTTTATATGTAACCCAAACCCAACCGACATAATTCTTTTATTTGCAAATGGTCTCTGTGGTTAGACATGCTATTTTTGTGTCAAAATTTTCGTTTTTATATTATTAACTATATATTGAAATATTTTATTTAAAAATGTGAAAGTTCATACAATTTTTTTTTAAGTTTGTAAAACATGTCCTTTTTATTTGACAAACTTTTTTTTTTAATCTGACCATTTTAAAACTTGAAACATACGTATAATAAGTATAATTTTTTTAGCTTAACTTTAAATTAAATTTTCGGAAAATTTAATTAGTTAAAAAAAAATTTGTTTCGAAGACTCGTCTTTATATATAAACAGCCTCCGAAGTTAAACATCAAATATTATTTTTGTATATTATCTATGCGTAAACAACATCGTTTTTTGTGTTATAATTTTCTACTTCATTTTCTTTCAATTATTAATGCTTTTACTTTAGATTAAAAAGCATAGTATACTGTGAAAGGGGGTGATAAAATCCCCATTCAAACCCCACTTTTACTGTAGTAAAAATTTATACTGTTGTATCTTTAAAAAATTTTCAGGGAGGATTTTTGTAGCTTCATCCATTAAATATTTTAAAAGAAAGGAGACTGTCCTTTCTAAAAATAATGTTCTACAACCATTGGCATATGATAAATAACAATTTCAATTCCATAACTAAAATTATAATTAACTAAAGAAGGTCAGAATAACCGAACTTTCTTTTCTTTTTTTTATCTAGTCTAATAATGATATCAGGTGATATCATTACTAGAATAATAGAGTAATAGTGTAAACTATTACTAATACTAGAAAAGTAATATATAAATATAAACAAATTTTGTTGTTGTTAAATTGGCTATCTTTAACAATTCAAAAAGTCCCTACTAAAATTAAATACAATCTACAGATTTGCATCATAGTGTTTTTTTGATAGTGATTTTAATCACTGTCAAATTTCTATGCTATACTAGTGTTCACAATTCTTCGCCCTACAATACTGGGTTTTTTTTTATATAATGTGATGGGTTGTAATAATAGCAAGTAATTTTTTCTAATTTTAGTTGTTCAAAAAACGGTTGGGTAACTATTCAAATAAACGTATTATATGTAACTATAGTTAAACAAAGTTTACGATAATAAAACACATGATAAACAAGGTAATTATTAATATATAAAAAGTCCAATAAACAGCGCATCGGCATTGTCGTCTTGTAGCCGATTAGTTAACTCGAACCCCAGTTAAGGTCTTGAGCCTGTAAGATGTTTACGTTAACCAGTACATTTCGGGTCAATTGTGCAGTGTTTTTGCTTCCCCAATCAGTGAAAGATTCAAAGGCAGTTTCATTGTCAAAATTAAAGACAGAAAATCTAGACGAAGGAAGAAAACTTTGATTGTGTATGCTGTCCCTGTCGCCATTTTTTTCCATTATTTAATTATAATTGTCTTTTGTCTGTATTAGAGTCAGTTAAAAAATGTCTACTACTGCTATTATTGCATTATTTATTAATAACATTTGAACTTACTCTACCTAAAGTATTTATAAAGCTTATACTTTTATTGAACTACAACCAGTAACCTACTCTAGGTTACTGGTTGATAGTTTCTAATTATCAATAACAAAACAAAATTCAAATAACACTACATATTTTGAGTATCACAAACTATTACTTTTGAATAAAAATTATATATATATATACAGGGTGGCCCACCACTCACTGACAACTTAAATAACTTTTGATCCAGTTAATATTTTTAGCTGATTTTTTTTTTAAATATTAGTTAGACGTTAGGTCTATAGCTATATCTCAATAATTAATTTCTTTAAATTTTATTAAAAATATTAATTATTTTTAAATTTTAAATAAAATGTAAAAAAAAAATCTAAGATAGCTATTTTGTAGAGTAGAATTTAAGAAAAATTTTAGTAAAAAAATATCTTATTAATATTCAGTAGTAAATATTGTGTAGCGTTTTGAAGTTTGTAAAAATTTGAATTTTCATGTACTATTTTACGGTTATAAACATTGAAATACGTATTGAGAAAAGGACAGAAGAAAACGCTATCTTTTCATGATTACTGTGTATACATATGATGATAGTGTGTATACATTACAAACTTGGCATAAATACCATGATAAGAAATTAGATAAGGCAATTATTACTTATCACTCTCATTCAAAAGTATATTGAAAAGATAGCGTTTTCTTCTGTCCTTTTCTCAATACGTATTTCAATGTTTAATACCGTAAAATAGTACATGAAAATTCAAATTTTCACAAACTTCAAAACGCTACAGAATATTTACTACTGAATATTAATAAGATATTTTTTTACTAAAATTTTTCTTAAATTCTACTCTACAAAATAGCTATCTTAGATTTTTTTTTTACATTTTATTTAAAATTTAAAAATAATCAATATTTTTAATAAAATGTAAAAAAATTAATTATTGAGATATAGCTATAGACCTAACGTATAACTATTATTTAAAAAAAAAATCAACTAAAAATATTAACTGGATCAAAAGTTATTTAAGTTGTCAGTGAGTGGTGGGCCGCCCTGTATATATAAATTACTACATTCATTTTTATTTACTAATATTTCATTACGTTTGTCGGTATACATAATTTTATATGGCAATTATAAATTTTGTTTATATTTATATTATATTATAACATTTGCATTTTATCTCTTTTACTATTTATTGACTAAAATTTTTCTATAAAATACAGTTTTATATTTCACGAAAATATAAATTAAATTTGCATCGAACTTTGTTCAATTTCTAATTAAAATATACAACTATGCTCATATAACAAAATCTGTTTAAGGTGACGGTCAACAATTGGGATTTAAATCACTGGATATATTCAAGAAACCATCCGACAATGTCATTAGTTCTACAGATGATACAAAAAGTAATTCTTTAATTAAAAATATTTTCGACTCAGGATTACAGGCCATAAATAACGCAAAAAATATTAATGATACAACCATTAATAAAACAACAGAAGATTCAAATAAACTATCAAACATAGCAGCAAGCGGGTTGATAGATTGGTCGAATTCATCTATAGAAGATGCTATCATTAAAGCAAATTGTATTATACCAAAAGACGCAAATAGTATTACTAGAGCTCTACTCCTCCAACAATGTTTATCTCCTAGCTTCGGTAAGAATTTTTCACTGTTTTCCTTTAAACAAATGAAAATTTTTCAAAAATAATTAAAGAAATATATATATTTAAATTTACTATTATTTTTTAATGTTTATGTTCTCTCTAAAATTAATTGGTTATTCTACGCAGCGGAATCGACCCCATTACCTTCATACCCGAATCATGATGCTTATTTAAAATCGAGGTTAACAATAAAGCTAAAATTTTAATTTAACTCGTTATTTGAATAATACAATGTATTTAATTTATTACGCGAACAAATACCGAATCCGGAACAATCGAATAAAAAAAAAAACTTGAAAATATCGAAACCCGAATAAATTAAAAAAAAAAAAACTCTATCATAATTCAAATTAAAACACTGGTACTTTAAAAGTCGTTTTCAATTCTTTTAAATTATATATAGGATATTTTTTAATAATATTTTAAAAACAAGCTATTTTAATAGTTTTTTCAGTTATGATTTAATCATTCGTAAACAACTTGTTTAGGACATGGTAATGAAACACGATGCTTTGATGGACTCGGTTGTTTTCCTATGGAAAACCCATGGACTTCTCTTTTAAGACCGTTACCCATGCCTATGACACCTGATGAAGTAGGAACTAAATTATATTTGTACACAAGGTAAATATAAAGGTTTATACGTAAAAACATATATTTATTAAAGTTGTTTGAAACTATTATTTAGAAATATTTTCTTTCAGAAATCAGCCGGGGCGATACAATGTAAGTATCTGGCCTGAAATATCTTTAGAAGGATCCGACTTTGATTCAAAAAGGCCTTATACAGTATTCATAACGCATGGATATATACACAATGGTAACGAGTCATGGCTTTCTGATCTCAAAGATGCATACTTAAAACAAGTAATAATATAGTTTAATATGTACATATTATAGTATTCGTTTACTTTCCAAGGTATTCATATACAAAACTAGGAACATGACTTTTTTTAAATAAAGATTTAAAAATGTACTTAATTTTAGGAGGGTAATAAAAATATTATAATATTTTAGCATCGATGCGAAGCTGAGAAGGTATTAATTTTACTATGATACATTTTTTTTTTTATTTATTTATTTACTCAAGACTAAATTTTTTTTTTATTTATTTATTTTCCCAAGACTAAAATTGATAAAAACTTTAACAATTTGACGTAAAATTCAGTTTTTTAGCTTCGATGAGAAGCTGAGAAGGTATTGGTTTTATTACGACGTGTTTTTTTTTTTGTGTGTCTGTTACCACTTTTTCTCAGCTCTCATTGAACCGATTTCTTTCAATGATACGTCAAAAGATCACAAATTGTATCTAGTCGAAGACATTACCCTCAAAAATTGAAAAAAATTCCCTCAATCCCCGTAAATGGAGGAAACCTCCAAAAAAATTACAAATTTAAAAATCGCTAATTTTTTCAATTTTTTTCTTCTTAAAACTGCCATAACTTTTTCAAAAATGAACAAATCAATATAATTTTTCTTTTTATAGATGCTTGATGTCTTTACCTATCATTTGGTTTATTTTTTTATAAATCTGACTTTACTTGCCTACAGGGGGTATTCAAATGACAACTTTTTCAACTTGATTTTTGAAAATGTTCGAGAAAGTCAGCACTTTTATATATATCTTAAATTAAAGGTAATATAATGTACTCTATTATAAAAAAAAAAATTTCTGACTTTATTTTGTCTTCGTGGTGAAAATATCTACCTTATTGAAAAATATGCTATTTTTGTGTTAAAATTCTTGGTTTTGTATTTTATTTTTTTTTATTATAAGGGGATTACACTGATTTTCATAAATATTATATCAATCTAATTGACATAGTATAAAAAGTTAATCATATTTAAATTTTTTTGTTTCTTTGAAGTCGAGAAAAATAACTTTAAAATTTGAACTAGCTAAATTTACATTTTTATTAAAATGCGATAAAATATATTACGAATGCGACGTACGGTTTCTGAGACAGTAACACTTGGGTTTTTTATGATAGTGATTATAATCACTGTCAGATATCATCTATACTAGACTCAACTATGCCACGACTCCACTGTGTTGGGTTTTTTATTATCCTTCTCAATCATAAGAGTTTTAAATTATACAAAAACATTTAAAATTATTAGGTAATTTTTAACCTAGTTTTCATGAATAGTATCATACAATGCAGTTTTCTGTGGTGATACTCATCTATTACTGTTAGCTATGAAATGAATGATCATAAATAAGTTAGAATTTTTATAATTATAATACTCCTTAGTATAGAATATTTTTAATGAATACAGAGAATAGATTTTATTTTAAATTTTTAATAAAGTTAAACTATTTTACTAAATTTTAACTTCAAAATTCGACGGTCTCATTCATGTGTAAGATTTTCAGTACACTCAAAAGAAAAAAACAATAATAATTTTTAGATTTTAATCTAATATATAATTGCTTGCTTTTAGCGTGATGCAAATGTATTTTTAGTCGATTGGGGTAAGGGATCATTTAATCTTAACTACTTGCAAGTGGCCTCCAATACTAGAATTGTTGGCGCAGAGTTGGCCAGGTAAATATATTTAATCAATACCATATTAGTAAAACTAAAATTTAATTAATTGTTATCGATATAAGATTTGGAAAATACTTGGCTAAACAACAAGAGCTAGATCCTTCAAAAATTCACTTGATGGGACACAGTTTAGGAGCTCATATAACTTCTTACTTTGCAAAGAACTTTCCTGGTGTTGGTAGAATAACTGGTTTTGACCCGGCTCAGCCTGGTTTTGAAGGATGTCCAAAAGAAGTTAGATTAGATAAGAGTGATGCTGAACTTGTAGATGTAATTCATACTAGTAGTCGTCCATTTATTCCATTTTTAGGGTTTGGTTTCATAGAACCAATTGGTAAAGAATACGCTATTTAATTTTTACATGTAGCTTTTTTATGCAAATTATATTTTAGATATATATTTATATTTTTAGGTCATTTGGACGTATACATGAATGGAGGAGCATTCCAACCAGGATGCGTTGCACCCCCTTTCGAACAAGTCAAAATTAAAAACATTGCAGATTTGGCTGTTGTTCCTTTACTTGGTACATTTTATTAATATATACATTTTAACGTATATAATTTTATTTTAAAATTTACAAAGCATGTGATTTGTTATAACGGTGACACAATTAATGTTTAAAATGTTTTTAAAATCAGAATTACATACAACTTATTTCGTGAATTTGANAATGTTTAAAATGTTTTTGAAATCAGAATTACATACAACTTATTTCGTGAATTTGAATTATTTTTAATTAAAAATAATTAAAACATTTAAAACAGACTAATTTGTACTGACTTAGTATTAGTGTGCTGCAAAAATATAAGAATAATTAAGTGCTACAAAATTTCTAACTCGAAAAGTGATCAATTCGAAAAAACGTTTTTTGTAGTCATTAGTGGTTGATATTTTAAAAGTGTTTTTTGAATTTTTAACATATTAAGTAATTTAGTCGGTAAATTTAATCAGTTGGAAAAATTCACTCCATACTCCCTAAAAATTATATAATGGATTGTCTCTGTGTACACTACTTTAATTTGTTTTGAAAAGTAGAATTATTTTATATCAAATCTACTATTAGTGAATAAATAATATTTGTAGTTTTTTTTTAGTTTTAGGAGAATGGATTGCCTGTTCACATGGAAGATCTTTTCTTTATTATACTGAAGCGGTGCTGTCCAACGAACAATGTACGGTTTGGGGACATAGAATTAATCTTATAACTGGCATTCTAGAGTAACTATATCAAAATCTAATATATTTATACGTTTTTACTAATTTCAATAATTTACAGAACTATAACAACTGGACATTTGCATGTGTCTGCGTTAAAAAATTGTTCTCTGGATGACTGTATTCCTTTAGGCTTAGAAGTCGATGAATATCCAGCCAGAGGCATATTCAGTGCCTCTACTAATATGTTTACACCTTTCTGCAGTAATTTTTAATTTTAACTACTATAAAGTAAAAATCATTAAGAAAATAATAAAAAAAAATAGTTTTCAGAACTTATTATTGGAAATAAGTATTTAAAATGTAGAGACATTAGTGTAGTTTAGATTTCATGTCAAATTCTCTAATTAACAATTAAACATTTTATTATAATCGGGGTCCAAATAATTTTTTTTTTGTTTAATGTTTTACATATCATAACGTTATGTTATAATTGAATTTAATAATATTAAAATTATATAATCTTATGCAATATTTAATCATTATATAAATGTTATGGTTAAACTTTTTTATACTAAAATGTTATTCAAATTTTTTCGTTTATCATTTTTACATTTACTGATTAAAAGATTCAAAACAATTCACTTCCCTTGAAAGTGTCATGTGAATTTTTTTTTTTATTACATCAATTTTTTTTTTAATATATCGCTCGAAAAGAATTAATTTTATGTTATTATACGATTTGTTTTAATTTATTATTATTATTATTATTATTTTATTATTTTATTTATTTAAAAATATTTTACGTGCATTGATATTACACATTTTTGGTTTTTTGAATACGTTCTGGCAATTTTTTTTTTTATTAAAGGCCACAAGGAAAGAGAAATCTATATTTATTTCACGTTTATCAAAATTTAAATTACATTTTTGTTTTGGTTCGTTTTTTTAACATATTATTTTATTTTAATTAATCTTTACGACTTTCTCAGTCAAATATTTATAAGAAGAGCTGATAATTTGTAACATTTACTTCCTTTTTTTTAATAATCTATTGCTTATGCGCACAAAATCCCACTAATTTTAAGTAATAAAAATCAATTTTTGACATATTTAACAGAGTTATGAAAATATCAATAAACACATTTTTATTTTTTAACATATTGAAGGGCTCAATGAATTGATTTTTTCATAAAATATTTTTTGATAAAATTTAATAAATGTGATTTGTTACTTAATTCAAAACAAATAAGAGTTCTATACCTCTTATTGTATGTGCAGATTCATTATAAAAAAACCTCTTTTACCATTGCTTTTAATGAAACATTAATCCCGACAATTTGTAACATTGTTAAATAGACTGAATAAATAAAAGTATGCCACTTTTCATTATAAGTTTTGTTTTAAATATCCAAAATTATCTACATAATTTATGTCTTATAATTAATAAATTTCAAATAAAACTTATAGATTTCTATTTTATACATTTATAAAAATCTTAATTAATATAAATAAAATATAAAAATTGTGGACTATATAAATATAAACGAAATAATAGTGTAAATAATGTATTTTAACTTATAATAATCCATTTTATAGAACAATACCTNTAATGTATTTTAACTTATAATAATCCATTTTATAAAACAATACCTCACCAATGTACTAATTTATCAATTCAACGTAAATAATTAGTATAGATAATTCTCCTTTAAAATCTAATATAACATATATCTCATAATAATTATTTTTTTATTTTAGGCGTACATAAAGAAACTGATAACATTATGCGATCAGCATTAAAAACTTTAAATGTTGGAAAAAAAATTAATGATACAACCATTAATATAACAACAGAAGATTCAAATAAACTATCAAACATAGCAGCAAGCGGGTTGATAGATTGGTCGAATTCATCTATAGAAGATGCTATCATTAAAGCAAATTGTATTATACCAAAAGACGCAGATAGTATTACTAGAGCTCTACTCCTCCAACAATGTTTCTATCCTAACTTCAGTAAGAATTTTTCACTGTTTTCAATTAAACAAATGAATATTTTTTCGAAAATAAATTAAAAAAATATATATATTTAAATTTACTATTATTTTTTAATGTTTATGTTCTCTCTAAAATTAATTGCTTATTCTACGCAACGGAATCGACCCAATTACCTTCATACCCGAATCATGATGCTTATTTAAAATCGAGGTTAACAATAAAGCTAAAATTTTAATTTAACTCGTTATTTGAATAATACAATGTATTTAATTTATTACGCGAACAAATACCGAATCCGGAACAATCGAATAAAAAAAAAAACTTGAAAATATCGAAACCCGAATAAATTAAAAAAAAAAAAACTCTATCATAATTCAAATTAAAACACTGGTACTTTAAAAGTCGTTTTCAATTCTTTTAAATTATATATAGGATATTTTTTAATTATATTTAAAAAAACAAGCTTTTTTAATTGTTTTCTCAGTTATGATTTAATCATTCGTAAACAACTTGTTTAGATAATAAAGATGCTTTTATAATCAAGGAAACACGATGCTTTGATGGACTCGGTTGTTTTCCTATGGATTACCCATGGTCTTCTGTTTTAAGACCGTTACCCATGCCTATGACACCTGATGAAGTAGGAACTAAATTATATTTGTACACAAGGTAAATAAAGGATTATACGTAAAAACATATATTTATTAAAGTGTTTAAAATTATGAAAGTTGTATTATTTAGAAATATTTTCTTTCAGAAATCAGCCGGGGCGATACAATGTAAGTATCTGGCCTGAAATATCTTTAGACGGATCCGACTTTGATTCAAAAAGGCCTTATACAGTATTCATAACGCNAAAAGGCCTTATACAGTATTCATGACGCATGGATATATACACAATGGTAACGAGTCATGGCTTCTTGATCTCAAAGATGCATACTTAAAACAAGTAATAATATAGTTTAATATGTACATATTATAGTATTCGTTTACTTTCCAAGGTATTCATATACAAAACTAGGAACATGACTTTTTTTAAATAATGATTTAAAAACGTACTTAATTTTAGGAGGGTAATAAAAATATTATAATATTTTAGCATCGATGCGAAGCTGAGAAGGTATTAATTTTACTATGATACATTTTTTTTTTTATTTATTTATTTACTCAAGACTAAATTTTTTTTTTATTTATTTATTTTCCCAAGACTAAAATTGATAAAAACTTTAACAATTTGACGTAAAATTCAGTTTTTTAGCTTCGATGAGAAGCTGAGAAGGTATTGGTTTTATTATGACGAGTTTTTTTTTTTTGTGTGTCTGTTACCACTTTTTCTCAGCTCTCATTGAACCGATTTCTTTCAATGATACGTCAAAAGATTGAAAAATTTTCCCTCGTTCCCCGCAAATGGGAGAAATATCCAAAAAAATTACATAATATTTTATTATACTAAAACCTTAGATATTTTCCTTTCATTTGATACAATTTTTTTGAAAATCTAACACTTAACCTACTTTTTTGACAAATTTTTATTTAAAATTATTAGGTAATTTTTAACCCAGTTTTCATGAATAGTATCTTACAATGCAGTTTACTGTAGTGATACTCAACTGTTACTGTTAGCTATGAAATTAATGATTATAAATAAGTTTGAATTTTTATAATTATAATACTCCNGTTGGGTTTTTTATTATCCTTCTCAATCATAAGAGTTTTAAATTATTGTAGTGATACTCAACTGTTACTGTTAGCTATGAAATTAATGATTATAAATAAGTTTGAATTTTTATAATTATAATACTCCTTTGTATAGAATATTTTTAATGAATATAGGGAATAGATTTTATTTTAAATTTTTAATAAAGTTAAACTATTTTACTAAGTTTTAACTTCAAAATTCGACGGTCTCATTTATGAATATGATTTTTAGTACACACAAAAGAAAAAACAATAATAATTTTAAAATTTTAATCTAATAAATAATTGGTTGCTTTTAGCGTGATGCAAATGTATTTTTAGTCGATTGGGGTAAGGGATCGTTTAGTCTTAACTACTTGCAAGTGGCCTCCAATACTAGAATTGTTGGCGCAGAGTTGGCCAGGTAAATATATTTAATCAATAACATATTAGTTTAACTCAAATTTAATTTATTGTTATCGATATAAGATTTGGAAAATACTTGGCTAAACAACATGGGCTAGATCCTTCAAAAATTCACTTGATGGGACACAGTTTAGGAGCTCACATAACTTCTTACTTTGCAAAGAACTTTCCTGGTGTTGGTAGAATAACTGGTTTTGACCCGGCTCAGCCTGGTTTTGAAGGATGTCCAAAAGAAGTTAGATTAGATAAGAGTGATGCTGAACTTGTAGATGTAATTCATACTAGTAGTCGTCCATTTATTCCATTTTTAGGGTTTGGTTTCATAGAACCAATTGGTAAAGAATGCGCTATTATTTTTTACATGTAGCTTTATTATGAAAGTTATATTTTAGATATATATTTATATTTTTAGGTCATGTGGACTTATACATGAATGGAGGAGGATTCCAACCAGGATGCGTTATACCCCCTTTTGAACGGGTCAAATTAAAAAACATTGCAGATTTCGCTATTGTTCCTATTAGTGGTATATTTTATTGATACACACATTTATACGTATATAATTGTAATTTAAAATTTACAAAGCATGTGATTTGTTATAACGGTGACAATGAAAATGTTTAAAATGTTTTTGAAATCAGAATTACATACAACTTATTTCGTGAATTTGAATTATTTTTAATTAAAAATAATTAAAACATTTAAAACAGACTAATTTGTACTGACTTAGTATTAGTGTGCTGCAAAAATATAAGAATAATTAAGTGCTACAAAATTTCTAACTCGAAAAGTGATCAATTCGAAAAAACGTTTTTTGTAGTCATTAGTGGTTGATATTTTAAAAGTGTTTTTTGAATTTTTAACATATTAAGTAATTTAGTCGGTAAATTTAATCAGTTGGAAAAATTCACTCCATACTCCCTAAAAATTATATAATGGATTGTCTCTGTGTACACTACTTTAATTTGTTTTGAAAAGTAGAATTATTTTATATCAAATCTACTATTAGTGAATAAATAATATTTGTAGTTTTTTTTTAGTTTTAGGAGAATGGATTGCCTGTTCACATGGAAGATCTTTTCTTTATTATACTGAAGCGGTGCTGTCCAACGAACAATGTACGGTTTGGGGACATAGAATTAATCTTATAACTGGCATTCTAGAGTAACTATATCAAAATCTAATATATTTATACGTTTTTATTAATTTTAATAATTTACAGAGCTATAACAAATGGACATTTGCATGTGTCTGCGTTAAAAAATTGTTCTCTGGATGACTGTATTCCTTTAGGCTTAGGAGTCGATGAATATCCAGCCAGAGGCATATTCAGTGCCTCTACTAATAGATTTACACCTTTCTGCAGTAATTTTTTGTTTTAACTATTATAAAGTAGAATGCATTAAGTAAATAATAATAAAAAATAGTTTTTAGTACTTATTATTTGAAATAAATAGTTAAAATGTAGAGAAATGAGTTTAGTTTAGATTTCAAAATATATTCTCACGTGTATCAAAATTTAAATTACGTTTCTGTTTCGGTTTGTTTTTTTAACAAATTATATTATTTAAATTTTTATTTAAGACTCTCTCGGTCCTGTTTTATTAAATTTTTTTAATTAATTGAATTGATCAATGCTGTATAAACTATATAAACTTATTGGTTTATTTTTTTAATTTAGGTGTACAAAACGAAACCGATAATATAATGAGAAATGCATTAAAAAATTCAAGAGACCTAATTACATTGTTAGTTATCCTGTTGTCTAATAATCGTCTTTTAGATTTGTTTATAATATACTAAAATAATTTTTGTTACATTAATAGAAATGGAAATGGACCGGACAGTAACAAGAGAGAAGGTATCAATGTATAGTAAAAACCACTAACGCATCGCAAAACATTTAAATCTAAAAAAGTTGACATGAAGAATTAACCCTTTGTTTCAATTAATTCTTTGATAATTATTTTACTTTTACTTTTTTAGCATGATAATTTTAATGTCATCAAATATTACTTAAATTTCTAATTATTTGTATTTAAGATTTTTTCTTTGTTCATTTTATAGTAATTTCATGTGTAATAAAATGATCAAATCATTATTTTAAAGCTATAATCAATATACTAGCTATACGTACATTTATTCCATTTTAATTTAACACAATATTTGCTGATTAATGTAAACAAAATTTTACTTAATACGTTTCTAGAATTGTTTTTAAATTTTTTTTGGTATCCAAAATTAAAAAAAGAAATTTTTAAACGTCTTTATATGAATATTGTTCAATTAAATTTTAATGAAATATCAATAAATTTTTGCATTGAAATTGAAACATTAAATTTTTATTTCCAAAAAAGAAACTTTATACAAAATTAACTTTGCTCTAACTAATAGTTACATAATTTAATGAAGTCTCAATTTCTGCCTCGTGCAAATTGTGTTGTCTAGCTAAATAATTATAAGGTTTTTTTTTATTTTATTACAGTAAAGCTAATAGGACACTTATATATACGCCGTGAAACGTTTTACATAAAACTTAATCGGCTTAAAAAAATATATATTGTTTTGCATTATATATTAAAAAAAATAATTATCAAACTATTTACTTGTTATCAAAATTAAAATGTTTATCTAAAAATCTTAAAAGAAAAAAATAGAATAGCCTAGAGTAAAACTGTGTTCTTTATTATTTATGACTTGTATAATATAGAAGTTACAAGCAAAATTTATTTTTTTCGGTAGATAAACTATTAAAAAACCCAGCACAGGGGGGTCGCGGTACAGTGGTGACGTGACATAGTTGGATCAAGTATAATGATATCTGACAGTGATTAAATTCACTATTATAATATTAAGAAAAAAAAAATCAAAATCGGTTTTCTCTTATAAATATAATATTTTTTAAAAGTTACAAATTATATATACATATACATTAAGTAATTATATTTATTTATAATATATAAATTAACAGGTAACAAATTTACCCATTTCATATAAAAAATAATATATATTATTAATAGATTGAATAGAAAATAAAATCTACTAAAAATTTCCTTTAAATACAAATTAAAAATCACAAAATACATATGCGTAGAAATGAATAAACACCATTATTAAAAACATGCGCGTGGATAAAAAAAATTTTGAATATCCGAACACGCTTAGTAATTTTCCAAAGATAATACCAAATTGCATAAACTTAAGGTGAAAAACCCAGCACAGGGGGGTCGCGGTACAGTGGTTACGTGGCATAGTTGGATCAAGTATAATGATATCTGACAGTGATTAAAATCACTAT